TCTCGAGGTCAATTAGAAATAAGGAAAAACAAAATGTTGGATAAAGAAAACACTCCAAAACATAGCTGGTCCGTCTCGCCTCTTACCCCAGACGAACCATCATGGTCCTGCTGAACCAGAGGCCCAAATCCAGATCTCCATTCCACCCCAACCTTTGCATTCGTCTGATACTGAGAGGATACAAAAACAGTGTTTTGTAGCTTGACCCTAGCACTTCATTGTATTGGCCGAATAGACGTTCACAAAGCACCCATAACGATCAATGAAGGCCACCTGGTGCTTCAACAAATATTGGATCAACGCCAGTTTATTCTCTGTTCTTTTAGCGATTCATAAACCAACATTTCGCAATAAAGTCGTTTCGGACCAGCAAAATGAAATCTCCTTACCGCTGTCGCGTGAGTGCTGTTCCCGTGGGAGAGTGAAGCTAGTCGGCCTGTACGAGCGTCAAGCAACACAATTGTTCCGTTCGATAATGCCACTACCATTTTTTGACCTTAAATTTGATGGATCATCAAAAAGGGTGAGTGAAACTCAAGTACTAAATAAGCTTACCAGACTCGCGCACTGAAAATGCTCGCGTTAAACCAGGCAGATTCGAAACCTTCAACTCACTTGTCCAATTGCCAGTTCGAGTGTCTATGAGGCTGGAAATACTCATTCAGAGTTACCAAAAGCCAATAACTTTTGAAAGCAACTACCTCCTAGAGAGTGCCTTACAAGGGAATGGCTTTGAACTTCCCATGGAACTTTGAATGGAGACCTAGGTACATCGATAGAGCCTCGAATGGTGATTACGAATATTACAGATTAAGCAAGATTAAAAGTGCTACGGGGACCTCCCAGACGAGATCTGGGTGGTCAAAGTTTGAGTTCTGGCTCGTAAGCGCTGCTGATCGATGCCTCGGCAGTGCCACCGCTGGCCTCGTTCGTAATCGTTCTCGCTTGTCAAGATCGAATGCATGCTGGATTGCATGCCGGTTGCGCGCCGAAAATGTTTGCATCGCTCCGTATAGAAGCTTCACTCTAATTTTCGAAAATATCTTCTCGAGATTACGCGCCAGCAGGGCCAAGCATAGATTCAATTACATCAATATATTACGTTGCTCGCCTGGTATGGGTTTGGTCATATCTGCCCTCTCTGAACATATTACCCATACGACAATTCAAAGTTTTAGCGAGAAATTCGTTTATGGGAGATTTCGACCCCGACTGAAACACGCAATGCACATACCCCATTCGACGAAAAAACGCTCGTCTGAGCCAAACTAGCGATTCTGGCGCAAACAACTTAATTGCTTCGGACATGGGTATATAGTAGTTAGAGAGGGCAGATATGACCAAATCTATACTAGATCGAGTACGTCGTATACTTGATGTACTTGATCTACTTGCCCTGCTGGGCCGTAAATTCGGAAGAATTTCGAAAATTAGAGTTGAAGCTCTTATACGGAGCGAAGCAAAAATTTTCGCGCCAACCGGATGCAAACCCGCATGCGTTTGACTTGAAAGCGAGACCATTACCACGAGGCCACGGTGGCACTGCCGAGGCATCGATCAGCAGCGCTTACGAGCCAGAACTCAAACTTTGACCACCCAGATTCTCGCTGCGAGGTCCGTAGCACTTTTTATCTGCACATGTATCTAATCACCAATTCGATGCTCTATCGATGAACCTAGGTCTCCATTCAGAGTTCCATGGGAAGTTCAAACCATTTCCTTGTTAGAAACCAGTTGAAAGGGTGTAAGGTAGCACCTACCCGTACTGATTAAATTGATGACTTGATATATCACCGCATTGATGCTGTCCACATGAGAGACGCACAGATCGTGCATCGCCATCCCAGTCTAGTTGGGTGATGATCGCGCCACGGAATGGATCCCACACCTTCAATTTTATATCGATTTGTAGTCGTATTACGCTTAAGAGGAGAACTGTGAGGCACATTTCAACATAATCGGGTGTCCGGGTACTCATAAACTTGCACCGCGATCGTGTTGGTATGCCAGTACTATGTAATGCGCTAAGAAGCAGGAGTACTCCAGCGAAGAGCAACACTGTGGTCTGCAGAATACCAGCCCATCCCGTGTATCGCAGGAATGTCCTATAGCAGTAGATTAGCTTGACCCTATGCAGCAGATAGTCGGGCCATAACTGGAGTCTCCTGGATAAGCACTGCTATCGATGATGTTGGAACTCGATTTTTTGAAGCTCGATTTCAACAGCAGGATTTTCCAAGGAAAAATCTGTCTTCTCACGACTAGATAGAGCCGCGTTCATACTTCGCGACTCGAGCGGTTTAGCTTCCGCGGGTAGGGCTGATCGAGCTCCGTCGCTAATCACTGGGCCACTGCAAAGCTTAAGAAAAGTGACTGCGATCAAACTAGCAGTTGCAGCAGCCCAACAATTAGCGGTGGAGCGCCGTGAGTCGCAGTCGCGCGACTGAATCGTTCAAATCGTGAAGTATGAACTGCAGGATAAGCAGGGAAAACTAAAAGAAACAATTTGCTTACATGAAGATGCCCATCTGTGGATGCGATAAGATTATTTGCCAACAGAGTGACGTCAAGAATTGGACGCTGATGTCTGTTGTAAGTCCATTGAGCTTCCACGGTGTCATATTCGGGTTTAATCGACCACAATCTGAATAGTTCTGGGTTTCAAGGGAAACACTTATCGATTGACGAGATAGAAAGAGCTGTACAAAACTCGTACTTCACGGTTTTATCAGACGATGCGGAAATGAAGGAGTTTTCATTCGAAAGACTAGCGATTCGACGAACAGACGACGAGTGGCCATTGAAGGTGCACAGCGTCAGATGGTCAAAACGGAGGGACGACCTGAATAGTGAGCTACTCC